ACACTGTCCGAACGCCGAATCTGCATCGCTTCGCTCTCGCTAGAACATTATTGTATCGACTGTGTGTGAAGATAAATGAATAAACATTTGAAATACTCTCACGGAGTAACTTTTGCGTTTCCTTCAAAAGTCGCGGAAAACGATTTAAATCTCCGATCCTCTTTTCCATTAATTATTAGAAAGCCGTACTCAATGACTGATCATCGTTGACCAACAACTTTTGTAAAATAGTTCTTGGATAACATGTACATAAAAGATATCTTGCTTCAATGCTGTGAGTTTGGCAATAAGGTCGCATACATCACTTATATAGTTGGCCAACACACTTCTTGTCTCATTGTATGGTGTCATGATTTCCATGGTTGCAAATATTGCATGAGCAATTTGATCAACGTCTCCAAATTTGGAAAATAGTACTTTGACGAGATAAAGGTAGTCTCCTTTGTGTTCTTTTCTTCCAATTCCCCTCAGTCCTTCTTTTCTTCTTCTTCAAAATGCAGGAATAAAAGAAGTATTCTTTGTGATGGACTGAACTCGGCTATCGGAGCTTGATGAATATGCCTAAATGTTGTCCAAATTCGATCGAAATGGTTGTCATGAGTATAGATTGAGATCTGAACTTAATGAAGTTTTTCATTTCTTTTTGTCAATACTGTACGTTTGAATATATGCGGCTGCATTTGTTGTTACTGATTTTCCTTTGCTGTACATAATCATTCACTTTCCACGTAGGATTCTTCTGAGTTGCTATAGTTTCTTTTACTAGCTCTCTTGCAATCTTTTAAGAGATGCAATTGGATCCGTCTTGCTTCATGTAAGAAAGTTTGGTCTGGATGTTCCAGAAAAATGTAAATGTTCTTGATTTATGCTTGTCAAAGACGACGTTTGAATACTTTCAGCCCTTGGAATTGGAATAACTTCAGTCTGAGTTTCATGCTGAGTGATTTCCATTTGATTTGGAGAATTTTCTTTGGTCCCGAGAGGGTTGTTTAGATTTTCGGGTGGAGGTGGAGGAAATTCAACATTGGCTATAGAGGAGAAAGAACACCTTACTATTAACCAGTCTGAATCCAATGTTGCAGGAGTATGCGACGCAATTTTTACTATTACCTTTTTTAATGTTTCCAAGTCAGTTATAGTTTTTGAGTCAATTTCCTCCAGAGGGAGAGAATCGAAGAAACCGGAGAAATCCAAAAAATTGTTCAACGCTTCTTTGAAAAGAGTTTGCTTTTTCTCCTGATTCTTTTCTTTGTAAACGGAATATCCGATTCTTATGGATCTTAATTCAAGTACAGCTTTGACAAGAGTAGACTGATTGGAGATATCAAAGTTGAGATTTCAGAAGTACCTGATTGATTTCTGGCATTTCTTTGAATTGGTGTTGTAGGAGTATTAACTTCAGGAGTATTCAAGGCAGTCAAAGACTTTCTTTGCCTTGTTAGTTTGTCTCTAATTGGAGGTCTTCCACGCGGCATTTTTTGATAAAATGAGTTTCACACTTAATATTCACACTGAACTCTCACTTTTGAATATTCACACAACCGAGAATATAATATTCACAAAAATATGATATTCGCACAAGTTTTTTATTTTATTTTTTTTGTACAATCCTCAAAAAATGAGAAGTTTTTACAAAAAAAAATGTATATATATATATATATACACATAGTTTTTTCTGCTTCCCGGAAAAAATTAAGCTAAGAGACGTGAAACCACGCTCTGCTACCACTTTTTATGTAAGGAACAGTGAGTAAAATCTTTGAAGATGGCTGGAGTTTTGAATGGATTGGATATATTGAAATGATTGAAATCACAATCAGCCGGGCTGCGGCCAGGGTGCTTCACACCCTAGTGTAAGGTTGATGCATTTTTAAAAGTAACAATCAAGTTGGATTCAGACACCCTTTTTGCAGACAGTCTTTCGCATGAGACAACACAATTTCAACTGTTCTGATGTGGAGAAATATTCCAATATTTAAGCAGATTTCTTTCTATTACAAATTTTGTCCCTGAGCAATATTGTCCTTTCAGAAGGATTTCCCCAAGAATTTCCCAAATCCCGTGGGAACTCAAGGTCGCGAGGAATCTCATCGGTTTCCAACCCTCTTGAGGCTTTGCCGTTTTTCTGGCGCCAAAGTAATCCTGTCTGATTTAAATTATTACTAATTTCTTTCCAACACTCAGGAAAGGAGAATAGTGTAATTACCGTTGCTGCCTGCTCCACTTTTTCTTGTTGCTTCAAATAAGCTTGGTTTCATCATGACGGTTCCCATTTTTTATGTGCTTTTAGTACCCAACCCCTTCTCAGCCTCTTTGCAACCCACCATTGGTTCATCCATCCGCCATTTATTGTTAATCAACCCACCATTGGTTCATCCATCCCCCACTGATCAACTTGTCCAGTATTATTGGTTCTTCCACCCACTGACAAATCTGGTCACACAGGAAAACAATAAGCAAGCAATACCAGTATATGTAGGTCACCTCCACACTGAACCCATTAACTGCCAAATTTCCTACACACCAATTTTTGCATCAGTTCACTTCATTTACATTTAGATAGGCTGGGGACATTTTTTCTGAATTTTCAATTCAAAATTTTGTCAAATATTTCAATTTTAAACTTGATCCCCACATGGGGCTCATGGCAGGTAGCATCTTCTTTTTTACTAGTGAGAAAAATCTTCTAATCATTGAAAAAAAAAATTTGGATTTTTCGGCTAAATTTCATTATTTTTTTGTTAATGTGAGTGCAAACATAACTTCTGATTCATTTTAGATGATAGAATGCCACTAGGACTGAAATGCACTTTTTTTTACTATTTTCCAAAAATTTCAACTTTTTTTTTTGTAAAAGCTGAAAAACTCTATGTTACCTATTCAGCCAAAAGAACATTGATTTGCTAATATTTTCAAGCTGTTGGGTGACGTTTGAAAGCTTGGGGGCATCTTTAAAAATTTTTCTAAAAAAAATTGTCTTTATTACAACTAGAGAAAAATTTTAAAATAATTGATTTTGAATGAAAAAAATTTGTTTCACTTGTTTTTAATATTACTTTTACATGCTCAACCCAGCAGATAGGTTTATTCAACATAATAACATTTTTGGACATATTTTCAAAATATTTCCAAAATTATTTTTTTACACCCCAACTGCCATGAGCCCCATTTAGGGATCAAGGTTCTTGCACTTGTTGTGATTGATCAAAATTCCAAAAAATAATTAAAATATGCCAAAGCATTCAGAACTAACCAGGCTACAAGGACATAAACAATTTTTAGTTTACCTGCATTAGAAAGTACTTTTCTTGAATTTCAAAAATCATATTTTAACTTTCCAACAAAATTTGTGAGTTGGCTTCAGAAAACATGTTGCTGTAAACCTAAAAATGATCATAAATAGGCAAATGAGGTCTTGAATTGTAGATAACTTCTTTGCAAAGCTTTGGCATATTTTTGTTCAATTTTTATAGGGGTGGTATTTTTTGGCAGGGGAAAAAGTAGCTGAGTCCCAAATGGGGCCCACGGCAGGTAATGGGTTCATCCTTGTTTAAAATACATATAAATTACATATTGTACCTTTTCAAGATTGAAAAATCTTTCTTTTGATCTCCAAGTGTTTTCCACCTTGACTATTGGGCCTTCTTTCTCATAATCCACTATAGTGCTTTGACACCGTTCCTCTGGTACTTCACCTGGATATTCAGCAGAGAATGAAATTGATAAAGAAACACAGTTTCTTGTCTTGTAGCTTTATTTTAAAGTACCTCGATTTCTTCACTGGGAATGACTGCTCCCCACTCTCTTACAGAATGGAGAACAGTGAAGTTAAAAGTGATGAGATGTGAAACACTGATGAAACTTTCCTTCAGGAATGTTTACAAGGATTACACCAATGATATTTCCTGCAATATTCACCAGTTCAAGTGTTTCCTTGCCTCAGTGTTTTATTTTCATTTTAGTATGCTGCGTGTTTGGTGAGAGACTGACTTTATGTCATGGTTAAAGAAAAATGAACAGAAAGCAGATCATGGATACTCTCAGTCATTCTTGACCTATATAGGAGATGACTAATTCCGATATTCTGAATCGTTTTTCAGACAAGTGCTGTGCAAGTGTCAGGATCCTGACTTTGATCCCAAAAGAGTACTTGAAAAAACAAGGAATGCTGTGGTACAAGAAGTTGTCATCACTTGTTTGTGTAGGGTCTGGATATGCATTGTGCTTCCTGGCAGGGTCTTTTTTATTCTCTCATTACCAAAGAGCTGACAATTATGCGGAACAAATGCAGAATTCATGTCCACTGGTTCCTGGGTCACAAAGTAGGCAAATGTGAAGTGTTTATATCAGTGTTCCCCAACCTTTTTTTTGGCCTGAGGACCAGTAAATTTCCAGAAATTTGTTTTATGATGGTCTGGCAAATTTCCCAAAAATGTTCTGCAGACTGGTAAAGAATCAAGAATGTTTTGCACACTTGCAAAAGTGTTGCTTGAATTTTATTAGGCATGCAGGTAGATGCAAGAAGAATTCAATTAAGAGTGTCATCAAAGAATGAGAAATATGCCTTTGAGAGGTTTCTCAGGAGGAAAAATTAAAAAAATTTATTTCAGCAGGTGACAATGTGTCCAAGGTGTTATCAGGAGAAAATCCAACTTTTGTTTTCATCAAATGATTCAACTGCCTTTCTCCTTCTGATATTTCGGGTGAAAAGAACAGGCTTCATCCTGACTTTTGATAAATGTATTATGCTGCAAATTTCTCATGGACCAACAAAAACCTTCTGTGGACTGGTGCTGGTCCATAGACCACAGATTGGGGAACACTGGTTTTTTTTTCATGCATCCCCTACTTTTGAAATACTTATCAAGGGATTTTGTCATTTAGCTCACTCAACACTGGATCCTGGATATTCAGAATATCAAATCAAATTGGAAAATGTTTCCTGGGAAGAAGTTATCAATAGACATCAAGATGTGGAACTTGGAGGCAGTTTCACCCCAAAAACCTGCAATCCTTCACACAGACTGGCAGTGATTGTTCCTTACAGAGACAGAGAAGAACATCTCAGGATTTTTCTCTGGAATCTCCATAACATCAAGATGTGGAACTTGGAGGCAGTTTCACCCCAAAAACCTGCAATCCTTCACAAAGACTGGCAGTGATTGTTCCTTACAGAGACAGAGAAGAAAATCTCAGGATTTTTCTCTGGAATCTCCATCAGCTGCTCAAATTCCAGCTACTTGCATACACCATATTTGTTGTCAATCAAACTGGTAAAGACTGGCAGTGATTGTTCCTTACAGAGACAGAGAAGAACATCTCAGGATTTTTCTCTGGAATCTCCATCAGCTGCTCAAATTCCAGCTGCTTGCATACACCATATTTGTTGTCAATCAAACTGGTATTAGTGATAGAAATTAACCAACATCACCCAAGTGGGGAGCTCTTTTTGCTATGACCCCACAGTAGGTGCACACCAGGGTCACAACTGGTGCAAATGGGATATTCTTTGGATTACAAGTGTGTGCTCCTGTAGAGGAAATTTTGTTACCATTCCAGGGCTACACTTGGTGCACAAATGTGACAGAACAGGAGCATCACACAAATTCACCAGCTGTAACCTTGGAATAACTTATTTGTTTACATATGTTACCCTGAGTAATCCTGGTGTGAACACCCAATTGGTGTACATTAGGGATATGCATGTGCAACAGAAGAACTTTGGTACAATTCAGGTGCACAGCAGGGTCACTGTGTAGAATTACAAACATATCCCCAGTGTGCACCAGTTTCCCCACTTGGCATCATCAAACTTGGAATACTTGCAAGTATTCCAAGTTGGATGATGCTAAGATCCACTCCAATTAATTTTCAGATGACCTTCATTTCAACCGAGGGCAGTTATTGAACATTGGAACTTTGGAAGCAGAAAAGCATGGGGACTACCACTGCTTTGTTTACCATGACCTGGACATGATTCCTGAAAAGGGCAACACACCCTACAAATGCTTTCCCTGGCCCCTGCACTTGGCCCTAGGCGTGGAGAAATTGCAATACAAGTGATGTTTATTCCCACATCATTTTTCAGTCTAGACAGAAGAGTTGATGTTTTTGTTCACAAGGGAAATCTTTGAAATCACATTTTGCAGACCATTCTACAGGGGTATGAGTGGAGTGGCAATCGTGCCCAAGCAACTCATACACCAAGTCAATGGGCACAGCAACAACTTCTGGGGCTGGGGTGGAGAGGATGATGATTTTCTACTGAGGTGAGAAGGGATGGTATGAGGATTTATTCCCTGGCAATCAACAGCAGCATGATGGTTAATGCTTCCATCATATTCAACTAAGGTGGTGTGAAATTGGGGCTGAGTTAGATGCTATGTGCAATGTAACCTGTATATATTTTTGTCTTGCAAAAATATTTGAATAGTAACAGAAAGGGCAGAACATAAAGCTGAAAAACAATGATAGTCCTAAAAAAAACAGTTTTTGGTACAAGAACAAAATCCCAGCCCTGTTTGACACATATCCTGGAATTTTTTGTCACTGGGAATGTCACCATGACAGCAACAGCTTACTGCTGTGCATCAGTGTTCCCCAACTTCCATGGGGAAGAATTGAATCTGTTCCATGAACCCAAAAGACAATTGACCATTGAATCTTTAAAAATTCAAGACATTTGTGCCCAGAACATTTTTACATGGAAGTAGTGCTGATGAAAACAAAGATTAAGTAAGCTTCATCTTAGAGAAACTGGCACCAACTGATATGTATTGTGTGAGGAATGTGTGAAATTTATCTTTTTGATGCTGAAAGTAAAGATTGAATAGACATGTCTAGGAATTGAACAACTAAAAAACCATGCACTGAAGAGGTAATAATTATGTCATAGAAAGCCCAAAACAATTGTAGCTGAAAAACTTTGAAAATACAAGATTCCACACATTAATGTGCCAGAGGGGGAACGGATTTCACATCATTGCAGAGGTGAAATATTTGCGTTTGGACTTCACCATAAATTTCATCCTCAAAATCTATTTTGACTTCCCAAATTTGGATTTTTCCCCAGAGGACAGTTTTAAGAATACAAAAATTTTTTTTAACCAAGGGATTTGTCCTGGAAAACAAAATGTTGTTAACAAAGCAGTACCTTAACCCAGAGTAGAGTGTATATGTGTTCAATTCACTTGTCAACTATGCTGGGTTACTATAAGTCAGGAGAAAAGTTCAAATTGTAATATTTATCAATTACAGGTTCAATAGTCAAGGATTCAATGTGATGCATTACCCAGCTGAAGTTGGCAGATACAGATCCTTGCCACATGTTCCAGCAAGTCCATCTCCAAATAGGTCAAGGGAATTTTCACCTAAAAATTAATCTCACTTATTGAAGAATGTTTTGTTTTTTCAGGTACAAAATCCTGAAAAAAGAGGGTGGTAAAAGGGATAGTGGGCTTTCAAATGTGAATTACGTTTTGGTTCAAACCAGGTTGCACCCACTGTACACCATCTATGACGTGAACCTGACATTGTCTGTCAAGTGAAGCTTCAATATGAAATGAAACACAACCATTCCTTTGTTTTAAAAAGAGGAGTGCAGTTTTGAATGGTTGCGTGTTTCGAGATAACCTGTTGAAGGATAATAATAAAATACTGCTTCACACCAGTGTATCATCATTTGTTTTCTTTCTTTGTCATACAATTGACATTTATTTGCAACCATTATATACTCGTATCCTTCAGCAGCTACAAAGAGGAGGTCTGTTTATATTCACAACTTCAACAAAGCCGAACAAATACGGATGGACTCTCTCTATTAGGAACTTGTCAACAACGATTTCTGACTTCAACAATTTTTTTTGGCCTTGCAGCATGTAATAGACCAGTGTTTCCTCACTTTTTTAAGGTCACGGACTGGCAAATTTCCATAATTTTTTTTTGCTGACCAGCAATTAAAGGTTTCAAAATTTTTTTATATAGGCTTGAAAAATTTCTATTACAAGATTTTATGGCAGGTATACTAATGGTTGTGGTATTTGTGAAAATTAAATTGAGCACAGGTGGAGCAGATATTGCTGAATGTCATCAGAACATTAGAAAGGTGTGCTTGAAGAAAGGTTTCTCAGAATAAAAAAAACAAACAAGATTTATTTCAGCAAGGGAAATGTATCTGAAGTGTTATTATTGGAAAAAGCAACTTTTATCCTTAATTGAATAATTTCAACCTCCATTTTCTTTCCAAAGTTTTGGGTGAAGATATAAAAAAACCTCATTGCTACTTTGAATTAATTCATCACACTGAAAATGTCCATCAAATTGGCAGAAAACTTATGTGGACCAGCACTGGTCTGCAGACCTTGGGTTGGGGAACACTACCATAGACTACAATGTTGAATGACTCTGTCTACAACAATTCACTTGTCCTCCTCCCTTTATATGCAGCAAATTTATTCTATCCCTTTTGTGATGGTATGAAAGGACAGTGCTACAGATTTTTGTGGAGCACTAAACAGGTATGCCTGTACAGTATTTACTGTTCTACTTTGCTGCAAGTGCCACTGCAAATTGTAGCCACACTCATAATTTCAGAATCAAGGAATCCTAGAGGTTTCAAAAATGTTGATTTCCTGCATTTCAACTACAGTTCAAACCAACACGCTTCAGTGATGACCCAAGAAATCTTCAGAAATTGGCAGGCAAGTTTTGATGTGGAGACAAGAAAAAAAAATGGAGGATTCTTGATGTCATTCAGAAGTGCACTGCCCACAACATGCATCCTTTCATGAACTAATTCCCTGTTGAATTCCCAACAGCAAGAAGTTGCACAACACTGCTTCAGCCCTTGGATTTAGTCATCATCTGCTACTTGGAAGCTTATCGTAGCAAGAAAACTCCAAAAAAGTTCTTGTACATTTGACTCGCATGCCACATACCAATTGATATGGAACAAGTCATTTCAAATGATTTCATGTGTCAGCAAGCTGGTCACAAGTCAAACAGAGCCCTGTTGCAAAATGTTGGGGAAAAGTTGCCCAGCTGGAAGAAAGATCTGGAAAAATGCATCACGAGTAACTGGTGTACATGGGCTAATCTGGGGTTACAAGCATGCACCTCTGTTGATGAAAATTTGCCACCATTCCAGGGCTACATTTGGTGCACAAATGTGACATAACAGGAGTACCACAAAAATGCACCAACTGTAACCTTGGTGTAACTTATTTATTACAAATATGACCCTGAGTTACCCTGGTGTGAACACACAATTGTTGCACATTAGGGATATACATGTGCCACAGAAAAACTTTGGTACACTTCAGGTGCACAGCAGGGTCACTGTCTACTTGTCTAGAAATACAGACACATTAAAAAAAGGTTTTAAACATCCCCAGTGTGCACCAATTTCCCCCCTTGGGTGGAGTAGGCAGTTCATCTGGAGAGTCTTGATCTTTGTCTTCTCAGAGTTCATCTGCTGCTGTTGCTGATGGATTGGTTTTTGGTACACAACCAAAAGTTCATTTGTTGGAGCTTCTGCCTTGTCAGGCATGTTGTTTTGCACATGTCCTATTGACAGAAAGATTACTGATGGTGTGTTAAAGTCAACCTTTTACTTCTTTTTTATTTTATTTGAAGTTATAATTTTTTGCTCTATGATTTTAAAAAGGGTTTTGAATGTGATTCCAGAAATTTTGGCAAAAGTACTGTGGAATCCCTGCTTTGAGCTGGAGGATCCTGTTGCATATTGGAAAAAAGTTGATGCCAACCTTGGGGGATAATGGCAAAAGCACATCAAAGTGCTTGGTGCAATACAGATGCCCATGCCTGGATGCATTGTCCAGGGTTGGACCCATTGTGACCCCAGAGTTTCTGCATTTGGGTCCAAAGCAAAAGATGAAATCAATGAAGATGCCAATTTTACTGATCATAAGTGATTTGCTCAGCGCATTTTGGTGGCTTGCAGGAGGTGATGAGACATATGTCACCAACAGTGATGACTGATTTTTTTAAAAGATCTTAGTACTGGAAATGCATGAAATATTTGAAAATGAATACACAAATTAATTAGCCAGGCTGCAGCAGGGACCTTGTGTCCTAGTATAAAGTTGGTTTTAATGAAACTTTTTGAAACAGACTGAAAGTTTGTCAAGTTGTTGGAATTTTTGTGTTCGGACAATTTTTGGATAATCCCAAGAAAAGTTTGCATCAGCTGATTTTCTTCAGAGATCTTTTCAATTTGATGCATAAATGCAGAGTGAGTGAGAAAGAAGAAATCAGAGACAAAATTGATTCTGAGGATTAAAGTTTAGAGGTTGAATTTTACCATCTCCAATAAATTTAGAGCTTTCTGTTTTTTGGGGGACTGGGAACCAAACCTGAGTTTGGTTCTCAGGCTCACTTGAGAGATGCATGGTTTTGATTAAGAAAATTAATGCTAATTCAGGGAGGCGTCATTCTGAGGACGATGGAAAGCTTTTGATCCAAGAAGTTTTTTCTGACAGGAATGACCGCTGTCCATCACTCTGTCACTGTTGGGGACAACAGTCACCACAACACAAGAAAAGAGAAAGAAGCTGTGGATCAAAAGAATTATAAATAGAAACACAGAATCAGCCTGGGACAAGGCTGGGGATTCCTGGTAGAATCCCAACTTTAACTTTAAACTGTATTTCAATATAGTCCCAACAAATAGTGAAGATTTTTACAAGTCACACAAGAATTAAATGAACAGCAAAAAACCTCTCAGCAAGCTTCGAATTTTGTCACTGTGTTCACCACACAACAGCTAGACTCAGACTGATGATAAAAATGGTATCAAAAGGGGTTTTTATTAATTGTTGGTGCTGGCCTTGATCCAGCTCTCTGGCTGAGGATCAGGCGATTTTTAGAGGCCTGGGATTGGCCAGAAAAGCTGAAGTCGAAGACGACTCTGGGGGCAGGAAGCTTTGGAAGAAGGTTCTCGAATTTTCCGATTTTCTGGTGCTCTGAATTCAACCGTTTTCTGTGTTTGTCCTTGGGTGATTTTTCCACCCGATTTACTCTAGCCTCGATTAATGAGGCCCTCATCACACTGGTGGCGGCGGGTCCCCAACA